TGCAAAAAATAAGGTAAAGTGGACATTCGCGCGCGCAAGACGAAATCCTTCCAAAACCTTAGTGTTCGCAGCGATTTTAACATAAAAACATCAAAAAACCAATGGTTTTTCAACAAAAAAATTGTCAAAATTTCATCCCGCGCGCTCTTGCGGATTCGTAGGAAACCCAACACTTTTTAAACATTTCTGTCAAACGGGCTTTTGCGAGCAACTTTTTCGAACTTCTGCAACAACGGTTGCGCACCTGCCAGGGCCATCATCCCTGTCAAATAATACCATGCGGGACACATTCGTTTTTTCTTCGCGCGCGCACGCCGTCGTCGTCGGCCGCGGGGCCCTGAATAGTAGCCACGGTCGTCCGCATGCCACGAAGTGAAGTGTCCGAACGTCATAGGGCGGGAAGCTGGGTGTGGGTGGTGGCGAAGAGTCGTTTGGAAATTTGGTAGAGCTTGAACCGGCCCCCCCACAAAGTGGGGGTATTGCCCGCCTCCTATGAAAACCCTGGCACTGGTGAGAACGGAGTGTCCCCACGTGCTAGTAATTGTTGTTGCTGCTGTTGTTGTTGTTGGTGTTGCTGTTGTTGTTGTTGTTTTTGTTGGTGTTGTTGTTGTTGTTGTTGTTGTTGGTGTTGTTGTTGGTGTTGGTGTTGGTGTTGTTGTTGTTGTTGTTGTTGTTGTTGTTGTTGTGGTTGAACATTATTTATTCTAAAGAATAATTATTGTTGGGCCCCCTGGTGCGCGCCCCCCCTGCGCCGCCTAGGCCGCAGCTACATTTTCATCATTTTCGTGAGGAAGCCTCAGAAAAGAGGGTGTGTACAGGATCCGGTTGTTTTGTTGTAATCCGCTTTCCCTTGCAAAAAACAATAGAAAATGACATTTCTTGTTCTAATATAATCAAATTTCAAGAATCCCTTGCAAAAAATAAGGTAAAGTGGACATTCGCGCGCGCAAGACGAAATCCTTCCAAAACCTTAGTGTTCGCAGCGATTTTAACATAAAAACATCAAAAAACCAATGGTTTTTCAACAAAAAATTGTCAAAATCTCATCCCGCGCGCTCTTGCGGATTCGTAGGAAACCCAACACTTTTTAAACATTTCTGTCAAACGGGCTTTTGCGAGCAACTTTTTCGAACTTCTGCGACAACGGTTGCGCACCTGCCAGGGCCATCATCCCTGTCAAATAATACCATGCGGGACACATTCGTTTTTTCTTCGCGCGCGCACGCCGAAATCTCCAAAAACCATTGGGCTTCTTAAGAATTTTAGCACCGCGCATCATAAAATCACACGAATCGCACCGTAGGTCCTCGAAAAACACCTGCACGACTTTTCAAAATTTCTACCCGCGCGCGCTGTCCGAATCCTAAAAAAACCAATGGTTTTCCAACTTTATGCATGGGCGCGGATCCGCACGCTCACAACATCGGCATCCGGCCACAACCATCGGGACAATCATCGGGACAGTCATCGGGACAACGATCGGGACAAGCACAACCATCAGGACAACCATCGGGACAATCATCGGGACAACGATCGGGACAACCACAACCATCAGGACAACCATCGGGACAACCATCGAGACAACCATCGGGACAACCATATCCTCTCTCTCTTGTGTATTCCCACATCCCTCAGGAATTTGCCCTAAAGATGTGATCAACTATCTTGTGAGTACGTATCATGTGTATCATGTGTATCATGTACCATATGCATCATATGCAACAGATGTTCTGTGGAAGGCTTAACAACTTCTGTGGGTTAACAAGGCTTAACAACTTCTGTGGGTGTACGAACGTAGGCTTAACAACTTCTGTGGGTGTGTACTCCACGCCAGTGTAGTAGCCACGGTCGTCCGCAGGCCACGAAGTGAAGTGTCCGAACGTCATAGGGCGGGAAGCTGGGTGTGGGTGGTGGCGAAGAGTCGTGTGGATATTTGGTAGAGCTTGCACTGCCCCCCCACAAAGTGGGGGTATTGGCTGGCGTCGCATGAAAACCCTGGCACTGGTGAGAACACTGAGCGTTCGGGTAAAGTGATTGTTGTTGTTGTTGTTGTTGTTGTGGGGGGGCGCTTTGGCGCCCCCCCAAACCGTTCGAACGTGATCCTCATTTTCAATGGAACTGTAGCCAGCGCCGAAACGAGAGTCTAACAATAATAATTGTTTAGTAATTAATATTCAACAACAACAACAGCAACAACAATCATTTGAAGACTGTTCGCTCCTATCTGCTCACGTGCCAATCAATACGTATATCCCAAACCGTGGGTACCCGCCCTCGTCGTCTTCGATCGCACCCCCTTGGGGGTAGATCTCCCCCCCTGCCACGTGCATGTAGAGCAACCCATAAAACAGGGGAAAACAGAGGACCGGAAAGGGGGAGGGAGAAGGATGGAGCACGAGAGAAATCAGCAGGAGGGGGACAAAGAGCAGAAAACAAGTGGTAGAGTCAGACGGGCAGATCGGGTGGGCAGACCCATAGTGGGCAGGTCTGGAAGGCGGGTTCAGGCGACCAGGTAGAGCAGGCGGGTGGCTGAAGCGTGGTTCTTACATGAATCCCGAGGAAGTCTCAAGCAGTAGCGCGATTCCCAACTAAGTCGTGAGAAAGTCCTAAACGAGAGCGTGATCCCTGAGAGCCGAGGGCGCATCGTTTGAATCTTGTTGCGAGAAGTCTCGCGCGAGAGCGCGATTCGTGCATACATTGTGAGGAAATCCCGCGCGAGACTGCGAATTTGGAATACATTGTGAGGAAATGTCAGGCGGGAGCCATTGTTGTTGTAGTTCGGGGCCCAGAAACGCATTTTGCGGAGGAAGACCTCCCTTGTTCTAGTAAAAAAAGATGCTAGCCCCAGGAGGGGCGATGCAATTCTAAAAACGCATATGTTACTGGAGGGGGATCAACAATAAGAATTCTTCAGAAAGGAGAAGTCGACAACCATAACAATAATGTTACGACTCTGCGCTCTTATCTGCTCGCGGGCCAGTCATCACGTATATCCCCAACCCTCGATACCCGCCTTCTTCGTCTTCAGTCGTACCCCCCTTTGGGGGGATATATCTTTCTTACCTGCAACGCGTATGTCGTGCAGACATTGAGGCAGGGGAAAAGAGGACGGATGGAAGAAAGAGACACTGGGGAGGAGGATGGAGCACGAGAGATAGTGGCACTGAGGGATGCAAGGAGCAGAAAAAAAACGTGGCAAAACCAGACGGGCAGATCGGGCGAGTAGACCTTAACGGGCGGGTCGGGAAGTCGGGCCCGTGCGACCAGGTCGAGCAGAAGGGTTGCTGAAGCGTGGGTCCTGCATGAATCGCGAAGAAGTCTCAGCGATAGCGCGATTCCCAAATAAATCGTCAACAAGTCCACAGCGAGAGTGTGAGTCCTGAGTGTCGTGGGCGCGGCGTCTGAATAAATGGCGGGGAAGTCCTACGCGAAAGCACGATTCCTGCATAAATTGGGAAGACGTCCCGCGCGAGAGCCTGATTTTTCAATAAATTGTGAGGAGGTATCAGTCGGGAGCCGTTGTTGTTGTAACTCGGTGGCCGGGGGCACAGTTTGAGGTTCAAGATTTTCCCTGATAAAAAATGGTGCGAGCCCCGAGAGGGGCACTTCAATTGAAACATAGAAAGTGCACCGGGCAGGGAGGATCAACAATATTTGTGAGTTTCAAGAGTGAGAGTTCAACAACGGCAGCAGCAACAGCAACAATCATTTTAAGTATGTTCGCTCCTATCTCTGCCCACGTTCCAATCAATACGTATATCCCAAACCCTGGGTACCCGCTTTCGTCGTCTTCGATCGCACCCCCTTGGGTGTAGATCTTCCCCCGTGCCACGCGCATGTAGCGCAGCCCCTAAAACAGGGGAAGAGAGGACGGAGGGAGAAGGATGGAGCACGAGAGAAATTAGCAGGAGGGGGGCAAGGAACAGAAAACAAGTGGTAAAACCAGACGGGCAGATCGGATGGGCAGACCCATAGCGGGCAGGTCGGGAAGGCGGGCCCAGGCGGCCAGGTCGAGCAGGTGGGTTGCTGAAGCTTGGGTCCTGCATGAATCGCGAGGAATTCTCGTGAGAAAACCCAAAGCGAGAGCGTGATTCATGAGCGCCGACGGCGCATCGTCTGAATACGTTGCGAGGAAGTCCAACGCGAGAGCGCGATTCTTAAGGAGGTATCAGGCAGCGGCCGTTGTTGTTGTAGTCCCGGGGCCCTCAGCGTATTTTGAGGAGGAAGGTTTTCCCTGATACAGGGGTGCGAGCCCCAGGAGGGGCAATGCAAGTCAAAAACCACGTATTTGACTGGAGGGGGATCAACAATAATTATTCTTCAGTCGTGAGACTGCAACAACAACAACAGCAGCAGCAGCAACAACAACAATCATTTCAAGACAGTTCGCTCTCACTGGCACGCGTGTTTTGCATTCTGAAGCCGCAACCCGCGATACCCGCCCACTTCGTCTTCGACCGCACTTTTTTTTCGGGATATATATATATATATATGTATATATGTATATATATACATATACATATATCGGTCACTGCGAATGTCGAACGAGAGTCATTGTGGTCGTAGTTGGGCCTCCACCTATTTGGTTGTATCACGAGAAACTGTAAAGCGAGAGCGCCGTTCCTGAGTTCGGGGGCCTTCCTGGCCATGGGCTCTTGGAGTAATTCGTGAGGAAGTATCGAGCAGGAACCCTTGTCGTCGTGGCTGGGCCTCCGCCAACTTGATTGACTTGTGCCTCTCTGGCAAGGGTGTCTCGGTGTAAAATGTGAAAAAAATGATCGAGCGGGAGCCGTGCGTTGTAGCCGGGCCGCCAAGGGGACAGTGTGACACTCGAGCCAACGCTCGCGCGGGAGCCTCGTTCTCAGAGAAGATGCAGCCGGCGTCGAGGCGAGAGCGCGCGGAACCGCTTCCGGAGACCAGCAGTAATCAGCCTCTAGAGAAGAGCATCCAGCAACAGCCCGTAGCCGCTTGGGCTCACGCGAGCGCCGTGAAGCCCCCAGCGCGTCCCGCCCGGGCGCCGCACTGCTGCGCACTGGCCGCGGCCCCACGGCGCGCGGGCGGCGCGCGCGGGGCCTGCTTCGGGCGCCATGCGCGCCCCGGCCGCGGCGGCGGGCGCGGCCGGCCGGGCGCTGCGTGCTGCGCAGCAGCGCTTTCTGGCGGCCCCGCGGTGCCTCGGGCCTGCCGGCTGGCTCGGGCACCTCGGCGCCCTCTCCCGGCAGGGCTGCCGAGGCCCCGCCCGCTGCCCCCCGCCGCCGCCGCGGTGCGCCGCCGCGGGCCGCGCGCTGTCGAGCACGGCGGCGCCGGAGGCAGCGCCGCAGCCCAAGCCGCACCCGGTGAGCATCCGGTTCGCCTTCAGCCACAAGCCGTTCTTCCCGGTGTGGTCCAGGAACTTGAGGGACCTCTGGAGGAAGAAGAAGAAGAGGCTAGTCGGCAGGGGCATGGGCTCGCGGAGGAGGCTCAACAAGTCCGCCGTCTTGAATCGGATCCGGAAGCCAAAGACGTTCGAAGCAGGGGGAACTCCCCTCTTCAAGAGAACGCCGCGCTGGCCAGCGGCGTACGCGAGAAACAAGATTAAGAAGTTGGATATGCTGAACTTGTCGAAGCTGCGGTACTTCATCGAGAAAGGCAGGTTGGACACCCGGTTCCCGATCACACAGAGGCATTTGTATGACTCGAGGTGCGTTGACAAAGTCAAGGTCGGCGTGGGCCTCTACAACGTGAACGACTTCCCGTTTCCCTATAAGATCGACATAGAGGTAGCTGGTGCCGATCAGAGCTCCCTGGACATGATCAAGGCCGTCGGAGGAACGGTCACCATTGTCTACATGGAGAGGGTGGGGCTCCGCGCCCACCTGAAGCCATGGAGGTTCGAGGTGCTGCCAAGGACCGCGCGTCCGACCCTCAAGATGGTGCACTACCTCGAGAAGATGAAGGGCCGCGGGGCGCAAGTAAGGTACATCAAGCCGCTGTGGCTGATCGAGGAGGAGCGCCGGCTGCAGACACAGTTGCGGGAGCTCCAGAGCGAGGGCGGCCACTTGGCGGCCGAGCGCCTCGCGCGCGCCAACGAGCGCCCCGGCGTCGGCGCGTAGAGAGGGGCGCGGGGAGGGGCCGCGCCGCGCCGGCTTCCGCAGCGGGAGGGTTTTCGCAGCGGCAACGTTCCGTTCCCCCTCACACTTGACCTCTCGGCCCTTCCTTATTCCCCTGCTGCTGCTGCTGCTGCTGCTGCTGCTGCTGCTGCTTCTTCACGCGCGGGCGCAGCAGGGAAGGTGCATCCGCAGCATTCTTGCTCTTCGTGAGGAAACAGCAACAACAACAGCAGCAACAGCAGCAGCAACAACAACATCAACCACAACAACAAGGGCGACGACGACGACAACAACACATCTGAGGAGGAAGATTTTCCCTTTCATAAAACTGGGTGCGAGCCCAGGAGGATTAGTTCGATTGAAGACACAATCGGCACCAGGTAGGGGGGATCCACAATAGCTGTTTTTATATATGGAAGTTCGACCTTGAAAAGGTGTGACTAAAAGCGGGCATCACAGAACAGGGTAACAGGTGCTGGATGCCTCCTGGGGAGCGTCCCTGCAAAATGTTCCGCTCTGGGCTTCTCCGTTTAAGCGGGTCGCGATCGACGAGCGAGCGCGTTTGCAACATGTTTCGCCCCCCTCTCTTCGCACGCTGCCAGGTGGGCGGCGCGGTGCAAAGGCACAGGAAAGCAGCCACCTCTATTGTTTCCATGTGCATGGCAGGTTGGCGCAGGAATGCAGAGGGCAGGGGTTGCAGGAAGGAGGATAGGGAGGAGAGGAAGGGAGGGAGGAGGAGGAGGAGGAGAAGAGGTGCAACAAGGAAATGGAGGTAGAGGAGGGAGATGGAGGATGGCTACAAGAAGAGAAGCGAACAAGAGGAGAGGGAGGGTCCGAGGGAGGATTGGAGAGGGACGGAGGGATTTTGAGAATATTTGCAAGTTTGCTAGGGCGGGGGTGCAGCGGGGAGGGCTCCTCGTCAGTCTTTCGGTGTGTCGGACGCCGAAAACGTCCGAGCCTCAGCCAGGACCCTCTTCTTGAGGGCAAACTGGACGAGTCACTGGGTGCCGGCTGTCAGAAGGGCTGGCCACCCGTGTTGGGTGCACCAGGAAAAGATCCAAAGGAGGAGGAGGCGGAGGAGGAGGAGAAGGAAGGAAGGAAGGAAGGAAGGAAGGAAGGAAGGAAGGAAGGAAGGAAGGAAGGAAGGAAGGAAAGAAGGAAGGAAGGAAGGAAGGAAGGAAGGAAGAGGAGGAGGAGGAGAAGGAGGAGGAGGAGGAGGAGGAGGGAGGAGGAGGAGGCGGAGAATGAGGCGAAACGGGCGAGCAAGCGCAATCGTCCCACCCGGATGGCGATATCCACGGGGATGCGCCTAACGTTGGCACGGACTTGGTGATTGGCGGTGTGTTTGGTCTCATCGTTGTTGCCGAGGGGGAGGCCGAGCCGAGGGCAGCACAGAAGATCATGGTTCGAGCGAGGAGAATAGTGTTCTAGCGGCCTTGTTGGTGAGGGCCTCCGACACCGCAGCCTTGCACACCCTAGCGGTAACAGCGCAGGCCTCAGCATACCTCACTTCATGTTGTTGCAGCTGCGCACGGGGACCGAGCGTGCGTTGGATGGGTCTGACTTCGCCCCCGGCCGTGGCAACGCGAACACCAGCCTCGTCAGTCATGCCAACTGGGTTGGCAACCTGCGTGACAGGAGACCTGACAGCTGTGCTGACTTTCACGCCAACCCCAAGTAACTTGATATCAGCACTGTCCGTGGCAGAGTTCCGAACACGTTTCTGGAGGGGTCTCGACCCCGCCCCCACAGGCCCCATCAAGAGCCCTCCTTCTCGCTCATCTCAATACAGTGGGTGCCCATGCCAAGAAACACCCTGATCGCTTCCAGGGTGCCCTGGGTCTCTTGGGCTTCGATGGGTTTGCCATGGCGAGCGTGACGTGCCCACACCAGAAATCCATGGACGCCCTGGGGTCTCAGGGTTGGGCTTCTCGTGGAACGCTTCTCGTGGTCGGGCCTCCGCGGCCACGAGGAGGAGGAGGAGGAGGAGGAGGAGGGGGAGGAGGAGGAGGAGGAGGAGGAGAGGAGGAGGAGGAGGGGAGGAGGAGGGGGGAGGAGGAGGAGGAGGAGGAGGAGGAGGAGGAGGAGGAGGAGGAGGAGGGAGGAGGAGGCGGCGGGAGGAGGAGGAGGAGGAGGAGGGCAGCCTGCTCGAGAAGCCCATTTGGCCTCTGGCGATCTGGGCCTGCGACCCGATCGATCGGTCAGGGTCGATCGGCGCCTGCCGCCCGATCGATCCCGCCTCGCAGGCCGATCGCGAGGCCGGGCTCAGCGCGCCGCGGATCGGCGATTCGCCGCCGCCGCTGCCGCGCCCTGGCCCTTGGCGGCTGCTGCGCGCCTTCGGCGCGCCCAGGAGGGGCCCGACGCCCGAGCCCGCCTGGCACAGGCGGCAGAGGGAGCGCCGGGCGTCGGCGCGGGCCCTTCTGCGCGTCGTGAGGGCGGCCGACCTCCTCAGCAGCCACCACTCCGCGCAGCAGCACCAGTGCAACCAGCAGAACGAGCTGCAAGACTTCGAGACCAGCGAGATGGCGACCAACACGAAGTCTCACGGCCATCCAGTGGGGGCCAAGCCGTGGCCATGGAGGTCAAGCACACCAGCATCTGGATCCTCGTACCGCCGACACCATGGAGGGCATGGACAGCAGCAGCCACGGCACCAGCCCCAGCACAACCAGCACCACCACACCTCCCACCACGACGAGGATCAACAGCAGCACAACGACGCCCAGTACCAGCAACAGTATAAGTACGACTACACGACACCGAGAACGAAGCGGCACCCCTCGAGAAGACGCCACCAAGCCCCCGAAGACTCCACAAACGACCACCGACAGTTGCCAAAGCTGACGAAACGACAGTTGGAGGTCACAGAAAAGGTAATGCCCGCCTTGCTTTCGGATGCCAAGGGACACGAAAGCTTTTCTCTTCCTCCCGACGAGCCAGACATACGTAGGGTTTGGCACGCCACTAAGGTGGCGCGGATGGCACGTCTCGCCGACCAAGTCCACGGAGCCAGGCAAGCCCAAGTCGACCCGACCCGCTTGATCGAGGAGCTAGCCATAGTCAAGACCATGATACACATGCTGGACACGCCGACGGCTCGCATTTCACAATACAGATCCCAAGTGGAGTCACGGATCCAGAGACAGCAGACCGTCGAGAGCCAGCTCAAAGACCTCAATAAGGAGCACGACGAAATCAAGGGCGAGATTGCATCCCTCAGGGCACTCATCTCCGAGGCCAAGCAGTATCGAGAACACGCCGAACTTTACGAAGACAGTTGTGACGGGGACGGTGAAGATGATGGGAGACAACGTGTCAGGGGCAAGACACCACACCCCGAGAGACGACAGCGGACACCAATTCGACAACCGGTGCACGAGCCAGCGCCTGCTTCGACCACCAACGACAACAGCGACCTGCGGAAACTCATTGACGTGCTGACGAGGAGAGTGGATGAGCAGCAGCGCAACCACGGAATACATCAACATCATCTGGCGTTTCTCCACCATGAACGAGCCGAATCCGATCAACACGAAGCACAACGTCAACTGCAGACCGAGCAGATCCACGAGCTCTCGCAACATCTACAACATTGCCAGGAACAATTCCAGCAAGCACAACTCCAACAGAGACAGTCGTACTACGACGAGATCCAAGTCTTCCGACAGCGCGAAGAGCAGCTCCGACAAGAGGCTCGCGAATCCATCACGGAGAACGTCGCTCACTACCAGCAGAAGGAGGCCTACCTGCGCTACCAGCTCAAGGAGGAAGAGTCAGCGCACCTCGCCACCTTCATCATTCAGAGGAAGCAAGAGGAAGAGACCTTCAGACATCAGCTACACGAGAACGCCGAGATCATGGTCCAACAATATCAACAACGCTGCCACGAACAACAGCAACGTCTTCTTTCCGAGAAAGCCCAGGCACAGCAGGACATCAGCAACATCGCGAGGCTTGAACAGAACCAGCTTCAGGACGCCAAGGAACTACTTTTGGAGGAGTTCGGACAGTTTCAGGCTCAGAAGTACCGAACCTTGACAGCCCAGAGCGAGTACAACAGCGAGATCGACAGGCTTCGAGGCACTTCTCGCGACATGCAGCGCTTCGAGAACGAACTCCAGGAGCAGCACCAACACCAACTACAGGAGCATCTTCAGCAACACAGACAGGAACGCGAGCGACTGCACTGCGAACTACAGCAGGCCCACGAGTTCGGCACCAGCCTCGACGTGGACATCCTCAGGGAGCTCGACACACAACTTCAAGAACGAGACGAGGAAGACGCACGACTGCAAGCCCAAGCAGATGCTGAACAAGCACAAATCGACAAACAGGTACAAGCCGCACTCCACCTGCTGACCCCACCGTCTTCCTATGATGACTCGGGCTATCAACTATACCTCAGAAACCGCGGCAGCAGCAGCGGAGGACAGCCCAGCAACAGAGGACAGCGCAGCAGCACACCACCACCACGACCGACACCTGCGATGCCAACCGCCACTCCCACTGCGCGACGCCCATGCCACGACGCCGACGACGCCAGCGTGCACACCCCAATCCCAGCCGACGACGACGACCTGTGCAGCCCAACCCCTGTTGCAAGTGACGCATATCCCTTCCCTGTCCCTACGCCATTACCCACCCCCGCCTCGCTCACGCCGATCCCCACTGAGCAGCATACGCCCATCAACTTCCACCCACCTGACCCGCCAAATGACCGACCCAGCTCAGCGCCACCACCACGCACCAGAAGAACAGACTCAACTCAGCACAACCACCCATCCACTACTCTCCTCATTGACATCACTTCCGACGACGACGTACCACCACCTTCCACCCCAGTGCGCATTCCACTAGCCGACATATCTCCTACCGCACCGATGCAGCCAATCCAACCACCACCTCGCTTCCACCTCGCCACGCCCGACCGCGCCACATCCGCTCCTCCGCCCCGCACAGCTCTCCGAAAAAACGGATCATCTAGACGAGCGGCCAAGCCCAAG